TTCATGTCTGAATACATCAAAACTCACAGCCAAAACCAATCATTTCAAGCACAACAGAACAAGCTTGTTGTTGTTGCATGTGTTTCTGCGGCAACATGCACATGCAGGCTATGTAGACGCAGGTTCAGCGTAACTAATTGTTCAACCCCAGAACCCGCTAGTCTCAGATTCTTTTCTAGCATTCGAGATTAGGCATTGTCCTTTTTAAGAAGAAGGAACCTTAGGACTTGCAAAGAAGTTAGCCAAAGTGGATAAAACTTCAGCACACTGCAAGACCAACTGTAGACCCCATAACTCCGCAGGCCGCGTGACATGTTTGCTTCCATGCCCCGGCTTATAACCCTATACCTATAATCCACCTAAATGGGCTTACAGGGGTTCCCCTAATTATAAGTAGGGATATAAGCCCAGGTATAAGTGGTTACTAAGTCCGCATGGGCCTCCAAGTAGGGTTGGGAAAGCCCGCGCTCCGCCATGCCAAGTTTAGGATGCTACGACAAGTTTCGGGTAAAGTTTTACGGCTTGGGCAGTGATTGCGTGTAGGAGTTTAGGGCCTTCCGACCTCCAGGATTTTCAACATGCGGCTTAGGGTTTAGGTTTTTGATGTTTCGGCGGGGGGTGTCCTTGCATTCTGAATCCCTCCGGTTGTGTTTACTTGTTGTGAAGCTCCTCGTTCTGCACATTGCAAGCCGTTTTTCGGGGACTAAACACTAAACTCCAATTCTCTAGTGTCTGGTCGTTTTCAGCTACCTCAACGCGGCTGCTGGACCTCCATAGTGATATCCGAAACCTGAGCCCTGAAAGCCCAAACTTTCGAACTGAAAGTTCATTCTAGTCTTTGGAGCCTCAGGGTAGAGCTTAGTCACCCAACTGATGCTAGGGTTGCAGGCTCCGGGTTGGGTGCTTTGATGAGAACTGGCACTGTAGGTAGTAAAGAATAGGAATTCATCTGCCAGTGGACCCAGAAATCTACAAGAGAAGCACGGTATACTCGACCATATTTTGATTCAGTACACTGTGCGACAGCTATATCATACATGTCTCCTGCATACTACACTTAGCCATACGCCCGAACCCAAACCGCCCTAAATCCTGACATGCCCCTCCCCAAGGGGTACGTTGGAGCCTTTTATATTATCTTTAATCCCTTAAAATTCCTTATTTAGCCATGAAAAGATTCTCACAGGGCCCCCAAACCTAGCCTAGTCCCCCCCGCCATGACACCCCACTGTGAGGAGGCGGCCGCACAGTTTTTCCTGGATCTGGTGGTTTGGCCGGAGAGAGAAAAGCCATTCCGCTTCTGGGCATTTGTCCATGTGCTGAGCTTCCCCCCCATAAAGCACTCCAGCCCCAGGAGAATATGGTCCCCTGTGCCACAGGGAAACCTCTAGTTATAGAATATTGAATTCAAAAAGACCCTGCTGTGGCCTATGGGCAACACACTTGTTGTGTCAGGTTATTGTTGCAGCAGGCTTTTGCTGATTGAGCCGCTGATCTCTGAACCCCCCTACCTATGACCGGGTCCATGGTAGCTAGATGATGCTAGATGGAACGCAGGCAGGGATTGAGAATGGGGAGCCAACATGGTTTCGCAAAGGCTTCGGGGCTTCTAGACATTGATTGCAGGAAGTTGCCCCCTGCAATGTATCATGGTTGATTCGAGCAGGTGTCCAAACTGGAAGCCTGATTGACGCCCCACATAATGTGTTGATTTTAGTAGTAATAGTGCCCCAAAGTGTCCATTTGCATCTGTCTTGCACGCAGGCTGCGTGCTCATACACCATAGCCACGCTCAATTGAGCCCAGTTGCGAACATGGTGCTAGACAAAAGCAGACGCATTGTCGCGAACATTATGTCGAAACATATTCCCATCACCTACGACGAACTATGAGGATGCTACGGTTGGTCGCACACTGCCCCACCTGCAACAGAGAAATGACAACCAGAACAAACCAACAACGAGAACACTTAGCCCGGATGTGGGCGTTTCGTAAATCGGGGGCTCGGATATAGATCCCAATAATATTGCACTTTCTGCAAGCGAAACACTGAACCCTATACCCAAGGGCTACTGTGATTCTGACACAATACCTCCCGCGCCGCCTCTTCACCAGCTGCAAAGTTGACAGTGGACTGTAGACATGTCGGGATGACGCAGTTGAGATCTTGGGCCCTAAGCCCTAGACCTAAAGTCCTAAATCCAAGACCAACAGGACTCTAATGCTCAAGGAATTTTTATGTCGAGCAGTGCGTAGCTGCAGATCGCAAACCTTGGAAGCCCAGGTTTCAGACCAGTAAAAAGAAACTCAGATCTCCCAAGCCTGTGACTTGCAGGGTTTAGGGCTTTAGGGTTTTGGTTTTTCGGGTTTAGGGGCCTTGCTGCCCAACTAGGTAAGTTATGACCAGGCAAGATCTGTTAGCCCCATATACGAATGATGGTATGACGATCACTATAGCAACACAACACTCTTGCTTTTCACCCTACAAGGCCCCAACCTTTGATTCTAAACCTTAGGCTCAGATGTTCAAAGTAACCCTCCCTCTACCCTTGATAGGGTTATATGGCCTCTATTCGTCGGTACTTCGGATGTAAAGTAATGGTATGTTTGTCCCAACTCAACCTGTAAGGAGGACGCGGAGAAGCTACCCGGAAACCTGGTATATTCCAGGGGACCCTGGAGGAAACACCTTAAACCCCAAACTCAGATCCTGAACTCCTTACACCCGCAAGCCCTACAGCCCTAAACCCTAAACCCTAATCCCTAAACCCCAGAAACCCTGGTGTGGTGATGTCTTTCGACCAATGCCTTCGCGCCGTAGCCGCAGCAGATCGCACAGGCGGCGTCAGGTTGTGGGGTTTAAGGTCCAAGTAGGGTTTAGCGGTTTAGGGTTCAGGGTTTAGGGTTTAGAGGTTAGGGTATAGGGTCTAAGGTTCACTGAAGGTCCCCGGTGACACTTCCTGAGTGGCTTGATATTTTTGGCGCGAAGATTATCATATGCTACCCAAAACGGAAAGACACAGGAGAGGGTTTCGGGTCTCTGGGATGTCCTTCTGCACCTAAGGAGTTGTTTTCGTACTTTGGGTTTTGGTCTAGCAGGTAGGCTTGAGGGTGTAGCTTTTGGAGTTTGGGGTTTAGGTTTGTTAGAGGCAAAGCAGACGGACCTCTGGAAGGGAACCCGTAACGCCACTACCTCCATACTGTCCTGTCTACTGGCTCTAGGCGCCGGGTACCTTAGGCTAGCGTCTATATATATATATATGTATATGTGTACATGTATATATACATACTCTATATATATATATGTATGGAGCATTATGACAGATGTTCATTCGATGTCTGTTGTTCATATCAGCTGGAGTTTAGCTCCACCTTGTTAGTAGTGGTCTTAG